AAATGTGAGCATGTACGCAAGATACGCAAGAACAGTGTAGATAGAGCAAGCAGACTACCTATATGGCACCTTACAGGGGCTTCGCCTTGAAAAGTGTCACGCACTTGTCGATTAAGCCACTGACAACCGCCATCGAATCCACCGACAAAAGGTTTACTGATGCCACTACTGGCACCTGGCGTCTTCCTATTGGTATACTTGCGATCGCCTATAATTCATTTATTCTAAAAGTACATGAGCTCATTTCATTCTGATGTAGTCACTGTTACCCCGGGTATTTTTTATTTGAGTCTAACGTTAGGGGCTATATCATCTTTTGAACGTGATTTCGTCTCTACTAGTTGTTCCGCAAAATGTCGTTTTAATTAACTCACAGGAAGCCTGTTCTCCTATTGTTTATTTCATTTTTTTTCCTTTAAAATGGCAGAGTCGAAAACGCTGTTTCTGCAGCGATCTTCAGCAATGGCTGTTATGACAAAGTTGAATAGCATATGTTCTCATTGATCAGGATTTATCGGAAGTTTCGCTGGTCAACAATTTAGCCATAAGAGTGCGCTTGAGCCTAGGGGGTTTCTACATGCGTTTCAGCGGATAAGTCCATTGAAGAGATAATCTGTCATTTAGTCTTTTTTAGTTTAAGTTGTAATGCTTTAAATAAACATTTCTATGTTCTTCTGTATTCTTATGCGAATAATAACAGATCACCAGATTATCCTCATTTACTTCTCTCAATGCAGTATAAAAGCCGGGACGCCATGATTGTACATTCCTTCTCTTTCTGACGGAATTACGCCTGGTGAAGTCATGCGTCTTGGCAACACCATCGTTGCGTTGGGCTTTATTGTGACTGAAGTCATTGCCAGCTGGCAAGCATCCCCCATCGTGCTTCGTTTCCCCTAGAAGCAGTGAATTTTAGGGGAGACGAAGCACAAAGCTAGCGCCCACTTTTAAATACCCTGCACAAGTTTTGCTATTCCGATCAAATGATTTCACATCAAGCAAAACGTTCTATTCTATATGCAGCAGTTTTCAAATGAAAAAACACACGCCAAGTGGGCTAACGCCACAGTTTCACGTTCAAACCGATTGCTCATATTGTAACAGAACAATCAACAAATCCGCTAAGCACTTTGCGTTTTGACACGTCCATCTACGCCGCTGTGTTACCTTTTCCGTTTGCCGATCTCCGCGGTGCAAAAACGTAGTTAACGACTAAATGGAGGAAGTGATGGAAGATAACGCTAGTGAAACTGTGCTACAGGTTGCTACCGAACACCGAAGCACATTCATTTTTCGGACACTTTTGACAGGTGACTTCTATAAGTCACATAAAATATTGCTAATACCATTGCTGACGTGGTGTGTTTCGTTCAGATGACTGATTATCCTCATGATTTTCCAGGTATGAAATCCTAGTTAGGAAATACCAAAACATAACCAGCACATTCTGCAGCTTTTAGGTACTCTTCGATCTGCCCTGGCTTAACCCGTTAGAAAATAATCTTCCTGTTACAATCGCTGACGAAGTCGCTCCCGTTATGAATCAGCTTTACAAAAGCAGTGTTCAAGATATTCACACTGTTCATGTAGCAGTTGTTGCTAAGTTTGCTTTGATGTTTATTAAAGGACGCTCTAACGTAGGACGCAGAGCGTAGGCCTTCTTAATTATCTAATGTCATTTGAGCCTAAAATCTGCTTTCAGATAAATGTTTATATGAAGAAAAGTTGTTTATACATTCTCTATTGATTGTACATGCAAGAGTTAAGAGAATCACCTGTTTTTATCTGGAATTTGCAACAATTTCTCAAAAAACATTCCCTGTTTGAGTGAATTCCGTCAACCGTTGAACTCTTTCGCTTAAGGCCTCTATTGTCCGTAACATCACAAATAGCAGTTTGAATAGAACTCCTGCATTTGCTCACGATCATTAATTAGCTCCCAGAAAAGTCGCTGCGGAACAAATTGTCTGTGTATTCGAATTATTAAACAAGTGATATCTGTACTATTAGAATTGAGTAAATAGTAGAGCAAGAGTTAGCCCCCCGCTACCCTTGACTAGGGAAGCCGGCGGTTAAACTCAAACCTGCACACCATGTATTTGGCAAACCCAATCCTTCGACCCCAAAAATATGGGAAAAAATTACCGTTTTTTGTTTAGGTACAATTTTAGAAGCAAAACATTTAGGAAAATTTCACGCCAGATCTCGTGTACTAGAACCTATCGTTAACAATATTTGCGCTACAATTAGATAGCGGAAGAGATCCTTTCCCAGAGAAATCATTTCCCAGTATTCTGTGAATTTTCATACACACAAAAAACGTTTGATCTCCTTGGTCACCTGAAGGTCAACTTTATACTCTATGACGTAAAGCAACTGTTTAGGCCATATGGCCTGTAAAAAAAAAGGTAGCCTTCTCTTGAGAAGCAAACCAGAGGCGGAACAATCTAAATGAACGCGGAAATAAATACAGCGTAAACTTGACTAAAGAATACATTAGGTTACACGAAATGGAAAATTATTGGAACACGTTTGTATTAGTGATTATTTACTGTTGTTCAATATTCGCTGTTTTAGTGACCTTTAATTTAACAAAACGCCTCGCCTACCTATGTTCTCATTTTATCAAACACAGTCTTCATTTCAATGTACAATAGTTGCAATTGAGCTTACGAGCTTGTATAATACATACAACAGCGCCGAAATATTTTCAGCACACAAGGCCAAGGAAGGTCCATCAGCAACCTGTCACCGCAAGGCTGTGTCGTTCGATCGATCGAAGCTACGAGTTAAATTACAAACTGTCCATTGATTAGACAGGCAGTTTGTATTTGTTGTATCATATAAAGCAAACGAGTTGACGATATAAGTTCAGGTGCTATGAGATAGAGGATCGATTCTTATCTGCGCCGTTTTCTTAAGGTACTCTACCCATTTTAGGAAGAATCTAAATCCGATACCAATGATCCGTCTGGCTTCATCAGACATCCAATTATCTCTGATCTGGATGACAAGGAAATTTTCAGCAGTATCAAGGCTGACTGTGTAAACCTGCCTGAATACCAATATGACAAAGTTCTCCCTTAACTTACTGCTGTCACAACAGGACTGAGTCATCATTGCCCATGTTCCCGTATTTGCTGTTGCCGCATATAGCCAAAGTTCCTAACGTTAATTTCTCCGTTGTTCACTTAGATCAGCAGCATTGCTAACCTATTTCGCTTTGGTCTCTGATTGGCAGCTGTTATAGCTTCCATGTCTGAAGCTCTGAAATTCCTTGAACGCAAAAGGTGTCATACCCGTGTTACACGTTTGTCAGCTTACGAATGACTTCAGAAGTCGAACACTTCGACTCATACTATCGAAAAATTCATATTAGGATTACAAAAACCGAACATTTGAGTGCATACTTCGTTTTCGATCATCTGAATCGTCAGATACTAGTTTTAAGGCTCTACAAATTTGCTATTTTATCTTTATGTAAAATACTTAATTTGTCTAGAATAACTTCAAACGTCTATTTATGACTAGTGGCAAAAGAGCATGTAATGGGAGCATGTAATCTAAGTATACAATTAATCTAGTAAAAATTAACATGGGAACTAGTTGCCGCGCATTCATTTTTCCTAAATATTTATTCAATATATTTCTTTGAAATTAGTTTAAAAAAACTAAACTGTCGTAGATTAAATTTCAGATAATTTCAGACTTGGAATTAACTTACCTGCACCTGTACATAGTCTCAGTTGTCAGCAAAGATGAAGACAGGTGCAATTTTTATTTAAGTTAAACTTTCTTAAGTAAATATTTATTATTCCTCACCTCAAATTTAGCTATTTTTCAAATGTATTATACTTATTATTTCATAATCGCGATAACAATACGTGGAGGGAAATGAGGATAATTATCTATTTGCTGGTAGTACGATGATTTGTCAAGTCAGTATTTCACTATGCAAAGTTTAATGTTCGTTAGGTTTCACCTCAATGGTAACAGTCTAAATAGGCTCTATACCACGTGTCGCAGAGATCAAAGTTATGCTAAGCAAGTATTAGGCTAAGTAGGTATTTGTTTTCCTTATTCTTATGCAGAGATGTGCTTAATTCTAGTGATTACCTTCCGCAATTAAGAACAAATTTGGGTATGATTTTTAACAGTGAGCCTCTGCTACCTGTCCAGGTAGCATGCACTAATTGAAAACTCGAGTATTTGCCCGATTATATACTATTCACTATCTCGTTAGTTTAAGAGCGAAACGTTATAACGACTTATTGATTTAATTGGATTTTCAAAAATCCGCAGTAAACCTAGCAATCCGTTATTTGTTATATGTAATTTCCAATTATGCGCAGGAATAAATCGGTAATTTCTAAAATAGGTGCACCAAATGTACAGCTCAAAATGACCCGTTTCAGCAATGTGTTTCATGAGGACAAAGCTCTCACAACAGGCTTATGAAGCAAAAGAAAATTTTACATTTGTAGAATTTGGAACATAGTAAAGAATTGGTAAAAAAAAAAAAAAAAAAAAGTAATTTATACGGCTTTGGAAACTCGTTTAACCACCATCTGATGCATTATCGCGCTACGGTATTACGTTAGAAGCACAGAATTTCCACAAGCATCCCGCAGCTACCGCGCACGAATCCTTCCATGAAGTAATACCCGTATGCACCCCGTTTTTCAGACATTTGCTTATTGACCACTGCCCGATTAAAGTCAAATGAGTTTTGGATGTGCAATCTGATATTGCCTCATGCACACATATTCCCATCAGGTGGGCAAATGTATCAAACCTATTCGATATCTCTAACAGCTAAAAATCATACCGTGGTCAACAAACAGAAGTTACTTGACTTAAACTTTGGCGCCAATGAGTCACAGCTGATTGTTCTGACAGTTAGCGTTGGAGTCAGTAGTTGCAGTAGTCAGCGCTATCTACCATCAGTCAGCTCGCGTCAACGATTTGACTTAGTCCCTAAATGTACAATACCTCTATTAAGATTTCAACCAGAATATCCGTAGGGTAGATTGGTCAATATTACGTAAAAGTAACACACTCATAGGTGTCTACTATCATAACAGTATTCTATCATAAAGATCTTATCTAATCTCGAACTGAGCGAGTGCACGTTCAAAGGGGAAGGCCCTTTCCACAATGTCTTACCGATGATTTTAGTTAGTGTTGCTGGATGTCGTAGTGCAGTGTCTTGTGGTACTTTCTCCGTCATGCTATTACACCGTTTCTCGATCAAAAATCGACATTCATAAATCTTCGGTGGCTTGTGAAAGGTGTCAATAAAGAATAGACGACGCCAATAAATGAACGATGCAAACCAAACCGAGACGGTCAAGACTTCATCAAGAGGCCCATCTCAGCTTTTCGGGTTGTGGCTTTCTGGGAATATACCATGTCGGCGTTGCGTCCGCGTTTCGAGAATACGCCCCACAACTTGTTAAAAGTAAAGTAGTTGGAGCATCTTCTGGCGCGCTCACCGCTTGCTGTCTCGTTAACGATCTACCCTTCGATGTTGCTGTGACCTCCATTCTTCGCATGGCCACTCAATCACGACGTCGAGCACTTGGTCCATTTCACCCAAGCTTCAATATTAACGATATTCTATTTGAAGATCTAGGCAAGATGCTTCCGGATGATGCTCATATTAGATCAACTGATCGCCTCCACATTTCCGTTACCAAGATGTCCACAATGGAGAACCGAATCATTACGCAATTCAAAACTAGGCAGGACCTAATCAGGACACTGATGGCATCGTGTTTTATTCCCGTTTTCTCGGGGTATTTCGCGCCAATTCTGGAAGGTGGCGAACGCTATATCGATGGCGGTTTTAGCTGCAATTTGAAGGTCTACGACGACTCAACGATTACCGTGTCACCGTTTTCGGGTGAAAGCGACATATGTCCGCAGGATGAAAGCTTCAATTTAGCGTGCGTCCATATTTCAAATACGTCCATCGCTGTGTCGCCGGCGAATCTGTACCGCATCAAACGAATCTTATTCGCTCCTCATCCAGATGTCCTGTCTAAGATGTGTCAACAAGGCTTTGACGATGGAATTAAGTACCTTAAACGACAGCAGCTAATATCCTGTGTACGGTGCCTGGCGGTTGAATCTACATTGTTATTACCTGTGAAGAGAATTGGTTGTCAAGACGACCAAGTTGAACCGCCCGAGCTAAGACATGAATTATCAGAAAAATGCATTGCTGGTTGTATAGAGTGCGATATCGTTAACCGAATGGCAGTCGCGGCCTCATTGCCGGAGAAAGTTCAACAGCCCTGTAAGGAGGCGGCAGATGCATTGAATCAAAGTCTTTACAACTGGCTGTTCCAGACGAGAACAATGAAAATGTTAGCTTTAGTAACGGCACCAATTATTCTGCCAATAGATGTCACTTATCTGACGGCTAAAAAGCTTTACAAGATGTGGCCTTTGATTCAGAAACGAGTCAGCGATACAGTTACAACATCGTTCTCGAACAGTTATCGCGAAGTTACGCACTTTCTGGGCATGGGCGTATCGCCAACCAGTTTGGGGTCCGGAGCGGGCCATATTTCATGCCAACTCGCAATTCATGAATTTGGCCAAATTGAAGGTAGGCCACGATCTCGAACGCTTGAAGGTGGTCAGCGACGGCGGCAAGGGCCGAAACGCCGATCGTTTGCGGGTATTGAAAAGCGTCTAGTTTCTGAGCTTAGTCTGGGTTTTGCCGTCGAAATGGAGAAACAGACCAAGTCCCGAACGTCAAATATCCTTCGAACGATGAATTCAACAGAGGACCTTCCATCGGTTAACGCTGCCGTATCCCTTACGAACGAGGCGCTTCAACGGAACGCTCACCGAAATAAAGGTATTCATGCTATTGTCAACGTCACTCGGCAAAAGGACGCTCTCATGAAGTTTTTCTACACTGACGATGAAACGAACAGTGTGTGCGTCACCGAGATCTTTGATCTGTCCAACCCGTAGGCCACCTTGGAGTAACAGCTGGTGCTTATTTTCTAGCTACAGCTCTTCCTCTTTTACCGTCGTCGATTTATTTACATGCAGTTAAGTAATGCTACTGTCCAGTGTAATTTTACTGAACCAGCCAGCTAAACACCGGTATGCTTATAAATCTATGTACAATGTAAACACTCCTTCTAACATGTTGCTGTATTCTCTAATATAATACCCAGAAAAAGTCATATTAATATTCGAAATCTTTACGGAAATGATGTCATTAATTTAAATGAAAATATAAAAAATTAGAAAAAAAAAATCAAAACTTTTAAATCTGATCAACCGAACGTCGCTTAACGCCATCAAATATTGATTATATTACTTGTTAATTCTACAAACGTAGTTTCTATAGTAGTAGTAAGCGTTAGACATCAGGTTTTCTCTATTGCAAAACATGTTCTCTCAGAGCTGCTAAAATAATATTTAACGGAAAACTAAATAGCTTCAAGTTCAGATGGGTACAACTTTTAGCGACATAAGTTTTTTAGCGACATGTATTTTAAAGGGCTACGCAGATGTTCTGCGGCTAGCTTAACATTTACTGATGTACGTCCTCCAAGTCGTTCAACTTATCAGCACATGAACAGCTTGAACTATCTATGCACACATGAGGATAATATGAAACATGAATCACGGTTTACTACAATCATAAAATGAACATAATGTAAACACTTTAATGAACTACAGAACATGTATTTCCCTAAAAAAAAAAATTATGTTTGTACATTCAAAGTAACTTCAATGAAAAAAATGTCGCCTTATTCATTGTGTTTTATCTGTCTGGTATTATTTTTTTATTACTATTAAAGTTCTACTTACATAGTAAGGAGATAGGAAATACATTTTCTTATAACGTAGGTGGATAAACTGTATTGCAATTCATTTAAGCGTTGCGCATCTTCAATGTTATCACCGTAAATACAGCTCTAAATAAGTAATTACTTTGAAACATTCGGTCAAAGCCACTTCATGCTAGAATAGCTTTACTGAGTTGGTCTTTCGAATAAATCGTACCAAGAGAGGATGCAAGACTCTGACACAATAAACAACGTAAATTACGTGCTTTCCTCTGGAAAGACGATGTGGAAGTTCGGAATTTATATGGCTTAATTTTTCGGAATTTTTGCTCTATTAGCAGGAAAAGCATTTCTTAGTTATGTAAACGAAAATTACATCGACAATCTAAAACCACGACGTCATGCTGACGAGTGACTTTTGCATAAAACGGAAAGATACTAAAATTAGCACTAAAAATGCCCTTTTTAGCAAAGCCTCGGTGCCACCGATGGTTTCTCATCATCGCATCATCGCTCTCAGGTCTTTCTGGAAATATACCCGAGATGGCATAACGGTAAAGCGCTTTTTAACGAACACGTGATAGCCAAGATTTGAGGCCGGATATAGAAATACATCGTTTTGAACTAAAGGACAATCAGCGAAACAATGCTTAAGGGAAGTGTACTCGAAGTACTACCGGTGAAAATCTAGTCATGTGTCCACCATGGCGGTGGACTATATTATTGGCACACATAAACATGAAGGGACAATGCAGAGGTCGATGATCGTTATCATAAGAGATTATATAATTTCGTTTTTCTAAATCGCGAGAGATCAATATTTTAAATGAGTTACATGTGTACGTATTTTTACATTTACGTAACTATTAATTAGGTCGATAGCTGATACAGTATCGGCATCTTGTATAAAAACTATCTCAAAATTTTACGCGTTTTCAAGAAACACTCCGTGTTGACGCGGTGCCAACCCACAGCGCATGCCGGCATTCGCCTACTATAACGGAAGTTACGCAACAAGATAACAGCAGATCTGCTGGTAGCGTCAATAGAGCACCACTCGAGCGATGGTGGTCTGACGAGTGCGCGCGAGGATTAATTATAGTTCATTGCCCTAATTATGACGACAAAAATAGCTAGATAAATTTACCACTGAACGTAAAAAGCACTTGGCTATAGCGTAGCCTGAATGCCTTTAAATCGTTCCGTTGCCCTACGATGGCAAATTAGCATGAAAACGATAACTGACAATATTTTAGAGCGTTCTTATTGAATTTTCGTCACATCAATGTCAATGACTTTTTAGAGGAAAGCGTATTCCAGCCTCATTGGTATGACTGCAGACATTGTTCAAACGAAAAGTAGAGGGGCCAGTGTTAAGCTAAGTTCCACTGACGTGAACCGGTTACGTGTGTGTACTCAGTTTAGTGTTTTCGATTGTGCAGGTAACTGTAGATGATCTTGTAGATGTGACAACGATAGACGAGGCAAATGAATATAAGTTTTTCGAAATACCGTTAGCGGTTTTCTGCAGGCAATAGCAGACAGATAAGAATACTATGATATATGTATTGCAAATAGTGCTGCTCAACTTCTAGCTTATGCAGAATCCGCCAAGATCGCACTAATAACGCAGGTATAATATATATGCAACGGTTTTTTAGAGCGGGGTTATCTTTATGGTTATTTTCAGTTTTTTTTTTTTTTATTTCAATTTACTGAGGAAATTAATATTTAAGCTATATAAGCATCTTCTTTTCCTTCAGATAATTAAATATTGCGTGCATGGGTATGAGCACAGACCATGAAAAATCTGGGTTGTAGCTTCAAGCTGACTAGAAGCAAATAAATGAAAAACACGTTTAAAATAAAACCCAAACGTTGTTTTTATCGCTGGGTATTCATGTAGATCTCTAAGTTCGGTGCTCGTTTTCTAAAGTATACTTGAAGTAACCTTCGTAGAGACTAAAACTTTTCAGTTTCAGCCCCTGATCTTCTTAGTTTTTGCAAGCGGCTGACCGCCTACTCGCATAGGTTGACTACCTCGCATCCACGGCCGACGTATGCTAACGGAGGCAGGTCTCTATAGCTTAAACGCTACAACATTACAACATACGGAGTGAAGGCGAACGTCAGCTGTGACGCTTTGAAAAAGGATAACTAGTTAAGAGACAACACCTATTTTTTTTTTGTACTTGCTGCTATTCGATCAGATGCAAAATGAGCAAAATTCTCGGGTTGCTAGAACTTTTTTGCCGCCACAATCGACAAGTAAATTAGAATAACCAATATGATCGGTCGACAAAACTGCCGAAAAATCGCTGAGGCCGCTTTAACACATAAAAAATTATTCATGGCTGTTCCATTCATCTCCCGGCCTCGATAAGTACGTAACCTTTTAAGCACCAACTTTAAATGATATAATAAAGGACTATAAATAAAAAAAAACTACAGACTTACGTCGAAACGAAGGTTTCTCTCTGTGACGAATGGAAAGGCCAACCATACCCGCAATAGCGATAAATAATTCAAGAGTACTCTTTTTTTGGACCTATGATGATAAAAACGATACCAAATAAGTGTCTACTTTGCCGCCGGTCTGCGCGAATTCTCCCACCAATGCGTCCATTTGACTAATATTGATAGCTGCACTCCCACCCAGTCTTGCAGTAAATTGTAATCTAATTTTTCAACTTCCTGGGGGTATTATGATATTTGACAAAGCGCTGGACGAGTTTCAAAACCGACGTTAAGAAATACCTTCAGATTGTAACGATGCTCGCTATTTTAAGAGTCTCAGCTTGAAAATGATATGGTTATGGAATGTGACCGCGGCACAGGATGATGTCTCTTGCTACAATTGCGTCGGGATTATGTTCCTATCAAGAAATTACAGATGATGACGGTCGTTGACTTTTTGTTCAAACGCTGCACGCTTTATATGACCCGAAATCATCGGTTCTCTTGTCGTCACGAATTGACACTTATGGCTTAGTCGTTTAACACTGATGTAAATATAGAAAGCAGAAAGCACTCGGGTGCCTCATCTATTGTCACATGATGAGATTGATGCGAGAGTTAGAAGTAACTGAAAATAAATAATTTTTATTTTTAGCAAACAAACGGTATGCGAAAAAAAACTTACTTTGCTTTGGAACAATATTCAACCTGTATTTATGTAGACAACCGAAACTTCTCGATGTCTTACATTTTAGCTGATGACCCTAATTTGTTATTTGTTATTTTTTTTTTTTAGAGAACAACAAAATCATATCGTTTTGATAATGTAGTGTTAATCAAATCACTAAAGTATATCCTGCCTTGTCACTCGGATACTCTTTGGGGAATTTCACACGCGTAATTCAAATAAAAAAAACATTCTTGATTCTAATATTTATGGAGACTAACTAATCTGATTGAGATAAAACAATATAATTTGTCCGAAAAGGACAAGGCCCGCTGGGCCTGATAGTACCGTTATTGTTAGTAACAATCAGCAGACATTGCTAATTTGCAATTTACGTTTGAAAAACCAACGCGTCTAATGCGTACCATTTAAAACACCGTCATGTAATATTGCGGTGCGATAAGTCTGCAAGATCAGTGAAGATTTCGTTAGTGTCTATTATTCTAAAGGATTATAAATTCTGAGGTCTCTTTGAATTTGTCCCTTTTATTTTACCTTATCTTTGTCGTAACAAATCAGCTTGGCAATTTCAATGCCAGCTAGAAAATAAGACACTTTCAATCTAGTAGCTTGTATTTGCGATTTAAGCTGTATTCAGTGTTTACCTGCAAACCAATCCATAGCAGAATGATTTTGAAGGGAGCTAGACCTCGCAGCAATCTACAGTACTTTCTTACCAAAAAAATCCTCTCAGGCGATTAACTTTATTAGAGTAAATCGGCCGGCTTGGAAGTCGCTGGGACGAACTTCACCTTGCAGAGGAAGGCCAAACCAAAATTTACATGTACTACATTTTTAAATCTTAGATACATAATGTTTGTTCATTGTACTAAATAACTACATAATCCAAATACAAGCATTGGGCCTCTATAGAGTAGGCATTGACTTGAGGCAAAAATAACTATAGATTGGACAGATTCTTCAAACAGAAGAGTCTCTTCATTCGATGTTTTACGGTCAAATCAAGTTGAAGCTCTATTTCTTTATATCACGTGGCTTAAATCTAATGTTTTAAGTTACTGACCCTTAAATATGAACCGTAAATTTATGGGTAATACACATCGGAATTTCTCTCATCTCATAACGAAACAACTAAGTGTTGCTGAAAATTCTAAGTTGTTTTGCACACGCGAACTTACCTATTGAGAAATCTGTCCGCTTAACTGTAATCTCAAAACTGAACTTTGTGTTTTGCAACAATTAATTAAATTTGGTCTTTCCTGCTAATGGACAGAAAGCATCCTGACATAACGGATCATGTGATCGGATTGTTTGTTTTTAAAGTTCCCGAAACAATCCGGAGTTGTTCGAAGGCTTGTATAAACGTTTTAGCATCGACATGATGTTCTGGTAAATTGATCCACAATATTTAGTTTACTTCTGTAGAATAGAATTATCGTATCGTGTAAAACACTTTTGCCAGCCAAGGATATCTTTAGTATAATTGCCTTACTTATTGATATCTAGGTTATGCCACTCTAAAACGTTTAGCCAGCGACCACCCATCTGAACCACGTAATGAAGTCGTAATCTGGACGACTAGGTAATAATTGTGGCAAACGTGCGTGGTTCCCGACAGTTTTATGTTAAAATCGTGGCGACAATTTACATATGGCTTCGATTCTCTGGCTTTACCAAACACCTCCTGAAACTTAGTCGTTACATTCAGCTTTAGTAGGAGTCCACGCTATGGGTGCCGCAGTTAATGAAGACTCTACTCCCCGTACAACTATAATTTCTACAAGAATTTATCGCGGAAAGAAAACTGACACACGATTAATTGCAATACGGGCACTCAGAATCAAACCACATCACGATCGGTCCAGGCTCAAATCCGCTGATACGAGACCCGAATTGTAAGGGCACGATTCGTAACTATTAGCCTAGGATTCAACCATTTGTAGTGGGTTTGCTCCTACACTCATATAGGCGTTACTACTCTGCTCGTAGCATGCCGAATCAGTAACGCATAACTTCTGCCTATTCCTGTATCGAGGAGTCGTCTGGAACTTCAAAGTAAAGACCATTTCTAAAATGTAAGGCCATACGGCTTTTGAGAACAATTATTTTGTCTGACCTTATATGGCGCTCGTACATAATCTTAATACACATACATTTATTCAAATGTGTTGGTTGAATAACCTTACTGAAACACCGCTTCAGATATTTTCCGACTCCTAGAAACAGTATCTCCGTCGCGAATCTTTTAGTACCTTATATATATATTTATATATATTTATACGGCAGCCATCCATTTACCGTTTAGCCTGAATCTCTCAGAATAACAGGCCATGGATAAAAATGAAAAACATCGTTTCGTGCCTGCCAATAGATGCAGGTTCCAACAATAACAAATGCTTATTTTTTTGCAACCTTGGCCATCATATATGTTTTTATATGCCCGCGATGTTATTGGAATTCTATCGAGAGAGCGAACCAATAACTGCCTCGGCGATTTAAGCCTAGGAGAGAGACAAAAAGTCTGTGCAAGTCGAGAATAAGTCGCTTGTGTTCTATTTGATTGAGGTTATGATTGCCCTATACAGAGTGCTCGTGAGGGCCATCAGAAATGTCAACTCGTGTAATTTCTGCAGGCGAGGATTTACGTATGATAGAATAGGGGTCGCTTAATTCCGACGGATTAAGCCACTCAGACCACAAGGTGACGGTACATTTTCTTCTTTAAGAAGCTTTTACGAAATTTAGCGAAAAAGTTTTGTGGCACCAGATTTCCGTCGATTCCACATCCTCACAAAGAAGGTTTGTAAACGCCTCATTGGGTCATTTGCAGATATCGTTGCGCTACGTAAACGTACATTAAATCTAAGTGTACGCTCGGTACTCTTGTTTTTTTGCACGCATGGGGCAAATAGCCTTAGCTGAGCCTACTGGTATAACTAACTGTTGCCTAACCAGTGATTATAGCATAGATCTTTCGTGACGAAGGCCTTAAGTCCTTTGGACAGAACGCCACAAAGCGATGATATTGATCCTGATATATATATATGAAAGAAATCATTAAAAAGCGAGCGACATTATTAGAAATGTCACGGTTCAAACAAAGACGATTATTGGCAATCTGAGTATCATGCGAGTTGAATTGTCAATGATGATCAAATACTTCATTATTGAAAACTGAGAAAAGTACGACGCTTATATATGATAAATGAAATTACGCAGCGTATACCCTAAAAAACCGCAACCTCCAAAAATGTGTTAGTAGTTTTTTTTTTTTCTAAATCGATATACATTACGCCAATGTGTCTGACTGATTCGCAAATGATTACTCTAAAAGGCAGCAAACTTGGTAAGTTGAAGATGTTTCAACGAAATACTATTAATAAATAGTCAAAACTGTGTTTCTCACTAGGTCGTGTAAAAATGGCCACATTAAGTAGGCCAAAAAGGATACCCTTTCGTCCTCGCGCTTGGTTTCATTGAAATTTCATCTTCTTTGCTGTTATACTAAGCAAAACATAGGAGTATCTGCTAGTCTAGCAGAGATCTCCACTTAGTTATTTAGACCAAGAAATCGTAGATGTTCCACTTTTACTTTGATCTAACTACCTCAAGAAGTAGACATCCTTAATACTAGCTTTGCTGCTCGAACACTATTGAGAATGTCAGATATTCGCTAAAAACTATTAGCCAAA